TGCCTGCCTTTCCTTCCTTCTTCCTTCCTAAATTATTATTTCTTTCATTATGATGATTAATTTGAATTTATTAGCCATCCATCTCCAATGGACTTTGGCAAAAAGTCAACATTTTAATGTTCACAGCAGAAACAAAAAGATTACAAGTAAAAAAATAATGTAATGCTCTACTTCTATAATTAAATTAATAATATCCCTAAGGGCAATATCCTGTAATAATCACCCAGCAGTGTAACCCAGCATGTAATAGCAAAGGTTCAATTGCCAAAGACTCTCTGGAATACTTTTTTTCTTCTAGTTTTTGCTTCTTTCCATAAATATCCAAAGGGACCCTATTCTGTAATGCTGGTGCTGTGATGAAACAATATTTATCTCCTAGTTTCAGCCCTTTAAAAGTCATGGAAGTGTTGGATTATTACGAGTTGTATAATGTCCTGTATAATTCCCCAACCAGGTGTAAGGCAGTGCTAGAAATATCTGTTGAGATTAGAATATACACTGCTCAAAAAAATAAAGGGAAGACTTAAACAACACAATGTAACTCCAAGTCAATCACACTTCTGTGAAATCAAACTGTCCACTTAGGTATTTACACTGATTGACAATCAATTTCACATGCTGTTGTGCAAATAGAATAGGTGGAAAGCATAGGCAGTTAGCAAGACATCCCCAATAAAGGAGTGGTTCTGCAGGTGGTGACCACACACCACTTCTCAGTTCCTATGCTTTCTGGCTGATGGTTTGGTCACTTTTGAATGCTGGCGGTGCTTTCACTCTAGTGGTAACATGAGACGGAGTCTACAACCCACACAAGTGGCTCAGATAGTGCAGCTCATCCAGGATGGCACATCAATCCGAGCTGTGGCAAGAAGGTTTGCTGTGTCTGTCAGCGTAGTGTCCAGAGCATGGAGGCACTACCAGGAGACGTGGAGAAGGCCGTAGGAGGGCAACAATCCAGCATCAGGACTGCTACCTCCGCCTTTGTGCAAGGAGAGACAGGAGGAGCACTGCCAGAGCCCTGCAAAATGACCTCCAGCGGGCCATAAATATGCATGTGGCTGCTCAGACGGTCAGAAACAGACTCCATGAGGGTGGTATGAGGGCCCGACATCCACAGGTGGGGGTTGTGCTTACAGCCCATGCAGGATGTTTGGCATTTGCCAGAGAACACCAAGATTGGCAAATTCGCCACTGGTGCCCTGTGCTCTTCACATATGAAAGCAGGTTCACACTGAGCACATGTGACAGACGTAATAGGGTCTGGAGATACCGTGGAGAACATTCTGCTGCCTGCAACATCCTCCAGCATGACCAGTTTGGCAGTGGATCAGTAATGGTGTGGGGTGGGATTTCTTTAGGGGGCCACACAGCCCTCCATGTGCTCACCAGAGGTAGCCTGACTGCCATTAGGTACCGAGATGAGATCCTCAGACCCCTTGTGAGACCATATGCTGGTGTGCTTGGCCCTGGGTTCCTCCTAATGCAAGACAATGCTAGACCTCATGTGGCTGGAGTGTGTCAGCAGTTCCTGCAAGACGAAGGCATTGATGCTATGGACTGGCCCGCCCATTCCCCAGACCTGAATCCAATTGAGCACATCTGGGACATCATGTCTCGCTCCATCCACCAACTGCCACGTTGCACCACAGACTGTCCAGGAGTTGGGGGATGCTTTAGTCCAGGTGTGGGAGGAGATCCCTCAGGAGACCATCCGCCACCGCATGCCCAGGCATTGTAGGGAGGTCATACAGGCACGTGGAGGCCACACACACTACTGAGCCTCATTTTGACTTGTTTTAAGGACATTACATCAAAGTTGGATCAGCCTGTAGTGTTTTTTTCCACTTTAATTTTGAGTGTAACTTCAAATCCAGACCTCCATGGCTTGCTAAATATGATTTCCATTGAAAATTTTTGTGTGATTTGGGTTGTCAGCACATTCAACTATGTAATGAACAAAGTATTTAATAAGAATATTTCATTCATTCAGATCTAGGATGTCTTACTTTTGTGTTCCCTTTATTTTTTTGAGCAGTGTAATTTGGTTCCCCTTCTAATACTATAAATTTACCAATACTTTATATTCACTCACATTCTCTTTCTAGAGAAGCATAGTACAGTACTGGGTTGAGAGGAAAGAGGTACTGATTATGTTAAGACCCAAAAGGGATTTTTGGAAAAAAAATAAAGTGATAATGTGGGATGGGAGTTGCCATAGAAAGCCAGTGTTTCTAATCCCCTGGACCAGTGGTGGATAACCTTTTTGGTTATCCTGTGCCAAAAATTGTGCATGTGTGCACCCAGAAGGCAATGCGTGTGATTCTGCCCCCTTACTTGCACTGTGCCTCCCAGCTGATTTTTGGCCCATTTGAGGCCTTTTTCAGCCTCCCAGAGGCTTTAGGAAGCCTCTGCAGCCTTTGCAGGCTGAAAAATGGGTCCGTTTCATCACTTCTGGTATTTCCGGAAATATAGGAAGTGATGAAACAGGCCTATTTTTCGGCCTCCAAAGGCTGCAGAGGCTTCCCTGAGCTGGGAGGCGCACACATGGCAGTGAGGTAAGTTTGCCTGGGGTTCTCATGCCCGTACAAATGGCTCTGCGTGCCACCTGTGGCACGCGTGCCATAGGTTTTCTATAACAGCCCTGGACTATGCAGAAATCTCAGTTAGAATGTTTGGGGCAGCTTCCTTTATCCTAGATCTTGGATGATGTGGTCAATACTTTGAGAGATTGTTGTTTATCATCATGATGTGAAAATATTCCTTTGAAACCTGTATTTCAATTACAGGTAGTCCTCAACTTACGACAGTTTGTTTAGTGACTCTTCAAAGTTACAACAGAACTGAAAAAGTGACTTATCACCATTGTTCATACTTACGACCGTGGTCACATGTTCAAATTTGAGACACTTAGCAACTGACTATATTTATGATGGTTGCGGTGTCTTGGGGTCCTGTGATCCCCTTTTGTGACATCACAACAAGTAAAGTCAATGGGAAAGGCAGACTCACTTCACAAGCATGTTACTAACTTGACAATTATAGTGACTCATTGTGGCAAGAAAGGTCATATAAGGGGGAAAAATTTACTTCACAAATGTCTCACTTAGCAACAGAAATTTTGGGCTCAGTTGTGGTCATAATTTGGGGACTACCTGTAACAAAAAGGTTTCTTCAACTTATTGAAGAATTCCATCTTGCCTCAGGAATCAATCTCTTCTTTCTGCTTGTGATCTCATATGTAGTTATATAAGTCTGTGCAGTGTAGAACTAAGAACCTCACACTAGGATTGCAGGAAGCTGGATTCAGCCCTGTAGGGTAGGAAAGAGCGGTCAGGAATATGTATACTGCAGGGAATGTGTTCCACAAATTACTTATTTGTTTTAGCAGAATTTGGAAAGTTTGCTGCTTTGAATGAAGCTGTTAGGCTAGACTCACATCATATTTGCTAGATGACTTGCCAGTTTGTTCCTTCTTCTGTTTTTAACAGGCTTCGACACATTACAAGTTTTATTTTTTATTTTTAGCCAGATTTAATTCTATGGGGTGCAAGAAAGTCCTTTTTTTTTGGATATGAGATATTTATAAGAATGTTACCTGCCCTGCCATCTTCTGCCCCCACAAATGTTGAATCTCTATGGATTTGTTTTGCTTTCTCCTTAACAGAATTACAGTGCTGGCATGCCATGAGAGACGCATTTATCTTCTGTTCTATTAAAATTCAGACTTATTCAAATAAACATGTAGCCGAGAATCATTAATTAAAAAACAGCTGGAGCAAATTAAATTCATTGCTATATCGTTAAATTATGGATACATTTGTTAAAATTATAGTCCCACCTCCCTTCATTGCATGCTGCTAAGTACTTAGGTACATTTTGAACCATAGGTGTATGGAGATTCTCAGTGATCCAGGTCATAGAGGAGCCTTTTCAAAAAGGAATTGGGCTTTCTTTGTTTTTCCTTGAAAATGTTTTGCTTCTCATCCAGGAAGCTTCTTCAGTTCTGAAGAGAAGTGAAAGGTCTTCAAAGAAAAATAAAGGAAGTTCAGTTGCCTTTTGAAAAAAGCACCTTTGGTACATTTTGAACTTCAACCATGTTTGAAAAACTTCTGCATGTTCAATGGATTAGGTTTTAGACTCCATTAATTGATTTTTATTTTCAACATCATTGGAGGCACTTTTTATCTTGCTTTATTGGGATTTATAAGCAGATCCCATAATGGAGTATTGAGCACCATAGGTTCAATTTGAAAAATAGTGGATATTAGACTCTTATAAAAATTGGACCAAGGGTGGAGGTTAGTAAAAATGAAGCCTTCGTAGGCAGGATCTGTGTTTGCCAGGTTTTGCTTGGTTTTCTTTGAGGTTCTTGAAAATGGGATTCTATACAAAATAGACATCTGGATTCTAGGGCAGAAAGTTCAGATTTCATTATGGCCCAATTTTCCTCCTCCAAGTAGGTTTATTGACAGGGAACAGTCCAGTGCAGTTATTGCAGAGGGCATTAGAGATGCAAATCCAACAAGATTGGGGAGGTGGGGGAGATGATAATAGAAATAGAATTCTTTATTTATGGGCCAAGTGTGTTTGGACACACACAATGAATTTGTCTCCGGTGCATAAGCTCTCAGTGTACCTACAAGTAACAAGTGATAATCATAATTAAAATACAATCATCATAGATAGCTAAAGCAGTGGAATAGCTAAACATAGCTAAAGCAATGGTACAACAAAAATGCCAAGATACTTGGACTCTTGGATACTTGGAAGGCTGAAGCGTGTCTATTTTGTTGCAGATCTTTTTTGGAGCTAGGTTGCTGAATCCTAGAACTTTGTGAACTGGCTACAATGGGTGTGGTGTTGCTATTCCCTGGACTTGCAATCTGTGAGATTATATAGTGCATCAAATAGACAGAAGGAGGGCAAAGATAATAAAAGGTACTGCAAAATTTAGGAAGTACTTTTTCCAATGTAACGTATCTGTTGTGCTTCTTTTGCAGTTCGCCTCCATGACAGCATATCCGAGGAAGGTTTCCATTACCTTGTCTTTGATCTGTAAGTAATACTTGGTTCTGAAGAAACTCTGTACCAGCCTGGGTCTTTCTGGAATTTGCTCATCTTTACAAGTCTTCCCCTCTGTGCTTTTCCTTGTGGCCTTGTGGCTGCCACAGTTGATCATCCTCTTTGTGGGTTGCTTTGGATAGCCTTATGGTGTGCCTTACGGCGCCTTCTGAGCAAATGTTTGTATGCTGCCTCAGGAGCTAGGCAGGCATTGCCATCTTAATGGATGTAGGTGGGCGAAGACTGCAGCTGCAGGGCTGCCATTAGCATAAAAGGGTGGGCAGGGAAGAGGGAAAGGAGGCTATTGGGATGATAACTGTGACTCAGGGACCCTGGCAGGCTGGGGAGACCCGTCCTTGCTGTACCCTGTTTGAAGACCCAGATTAGGCCATCTAGGAACCACACAGAAGGCTGGCTCCTGGGCTTCATTGCCTTGATTCCTCTCCCCATTTCATTTGGTAGGCCATGTCCTGGGCAAAGGGAGGGGTGTGTGTGTGTGCTTTGCTTGGCTGCCTCTCACTTGATTTCCAGATATAGAAACTAGTGATCTCATCTCCTCCTCCTCTCTGACAGCTCCAGTTAAGCAGCAAACTATATTTAGCTGCCCTCTGAATCAGTGCAGCTCCTGCTTCTCTCTCTCCCTCCCTTCCCTCTTCCCTCTTCCCTCTTCCCCTTCCTTCCTTCCTTCCTTTCTCTCTCTCTCTCTCTCTCTGTCTCTCTCCCCCCCTCTCTCCCTCCCTCCCCCCCACTCTCTGCTTGGAGTCACACAGGCCTTGACATGACCATGGCTGCAACAGGAATAATTGAAAGCTACTGATAGATTTCCCCCCACTTTCATGTACATTCTGCACTGTGGCCACAGGTGGCTGTGTGCCCAACTCTGGAGCCCATCTGGTGCAACACTCTTTCAATTACTTTGTGTGCCATTACTTTCTGTGCCATATCTGGGTTCCTTGAATACCTGGCAGATTCAGGAGCATCTGTGTGAAATGAGGGGATGGAAGAGGAGCAGATTATGGTCATCCAATGGAGGTGTTTGAGGAGCTCTAGTGCCTCTAATGCCCAAGACTTGATCTACAGTAATCAGTTGCGGTAATGATGTGGGAGCTGACTCATCCATTTGGGTCTCTGCTGTAACCTTTATATCCACTCTACTCTGTTTCCTAATCTCTGCATTTCTGTATTAAAGAGAAATCTTTCTTGTGCATTTCTGGCATCCTGCTATTTAACACATCAGCTTCTCTCCCTTCTAGACTCTCTCTAAGTTTTTAATTGATCAATTAACATTTAGTGGCTTAAAGGGAAAAGTACAGAAACACATCCCTGCAGAATGGTCAAAATGAATTATTTTTATTTGTAATGGAATGTAAGAATAAATCAATAAGGTAGCCAAATTTTAGTCCAAAGACCAACTTCTTGGCTTGGATATAGGTGTGCATCTGTACAGGAACATGTTTCCTGGGCTTGCATTCCATTGAATTCAATGGGCCTTCCATTGGGATGAAAGTATTTAGCATTCATAGCAGCCAGTATTTTGACCAGGTTGAATCAAACAATAATCTTGAGGTAAGGATAGTGATTTAGGTGTCTATTCTTTATTCTTGGTGATGAACTTAATTTCCTCCATCTGACCACGTTCCTTGTGTTTTTGGTTAATGGGCAAGAATTCCAAATCAAGAAAAACAATAAAATAGTCATTCTGGACCATTCATTCATTCATTCATGCCACCCATCTTGTTGAGCACATATGGATTTTTTAAAGTACAACTGAACTCTGAGTGCTCATTTGCCATTCTTCATACCTGGCATCTGAACAGGGCCTTGGATAATCTGTCTTCTACCTATCCTACATTGCCTTTAAAGATATTGTACATTATCAAGTCAGTATCAACCCTGGGTGAATTTGTGTGATCATTTTTGCTCTAGTTAGTGTATGGATGGCAATTTCTTAGTGAGGGAGGCTGCCTGCTTTTATCCTGGTTGAGATACAATATGCTGATGATAATGTCTCTGCCGTTGTCTATTTTGGCATCAAAATGAGTGGGCTAATAACAGAATAGACAGCAGAGCTAGACTTGAAAAATTTAAGTAACCACAACAATGAAACAATCAAAATAAAATAAAACCAGCCCTCAACAAAGATTCTCCAAAAGTAAAATTGTTTTTAAAAACCCATAGGGGATTTAACTTGTTAGGAAGATATTTGGTGGAATTCTGATGGAAAATTTGAGAGGTAAATAGCAGTTCTGATAGCATTTCAAAACTGCTGTGTGTCTTAATGCTGGGAAGACAAAATGTTTGTTCTTCAACAGGTTAAGACAAACAGGAAAACAGAGAGAGAGAAGGAGGGAGGTTATTGCACATTGGTTGATTTAGATGGGGAGCAGCATGGTGGCCTAGTGGTGAAGACATTTACCTCCCCCTCGGAAGGCTGAGAATTCAATCTTAGGTAGCAACATATATTTCTCTCCTAGGGTGCAAAGAAAAAAATATCTGCTGCAAACTCTGCATGGGCATCAGGAAGGGCATGTGTTTGTTGGGAATATTGATGCACATGTAGTTTTGTAAGTCTCACAAACCTGTGAGAACCCAAAGGATCTGCATGTCCCAAATGTGCTTTTTCAAGAGGCAACTGGACTGTCTGGTTTTTCTTTGACAATGTTTCACTTTTCATCCAAGAAGCTTCTTCATCTCAGAGCTGAAGAAGCTTCTTGAATGAGAAGTGAAATGTCTCCAAAGATAAACCAGACAGTCCACTTGCCTCTTGAAAAAGTACCTGTGGGATAACCCTGACCTGGGTGACTGAGAACCTTCATAGACAAAAGTTCTGTAGTGTAAACTCTGTAATAAAGAGTATGGATCTGAACATTAACATATGAAAATCAATAGTTGTGTTATCCAGAAAGATAGCATGGGCAGTTGCAAGTTATACATAGAAGCCACATAACTAGAGCAAGCAGATGGATTTGTTCAATTCCTTTGTGGAATATTTGCTAAAAATGGGAAAATGTTTTGAGAAATTTAAGATGGTAGAAAAATAGTGGTATGGGTCAAGAGTAAAATGGAAGATTGAGAAAATTGTAATTGGATGGAGTTGATCAGATCCTCAGAAAGAATGAACATGTTCAGGAGGCAACAAAAGGCAATGTATGAATCAGTTTATGAACAAGAATATCTTGTAAGGGAAAAAAAGGAAATATAGAAGCCTAGTGAACTAAATTTAGCTGTGTTTCTTCCCCTTTTTAATTCATGCCTTAAATAGCTTTGGTATATTATTTCTTACTTGTTTCTGTATTTGTTGTAAGATTGCTTACCCTGAAATAATTAGTCCTCTATCTGGATGAGAGATAAAATATAACAACTTCTCCCAAAGAGGAGAAGAGAGGAAGAAGAAAAAGAAAGTGAACAAATGACCTCAACATAAATATACCATTTTGGGAGAGCTGCAGTGAGATTTTAAACTACATATATTTAAAGTTAGAATAATTTTTCAAAATAAAGTTAGAAAAATTAGGCCTTTTCGGATATTAGCAAGCCTAGACAGATGCTCAACAAGCTAGATTTACATTGATTCTGGTGAGATTCCCTGATGGAACAGAAATTGGATCCATGACAGTTTATTTGGGTCATGGGCCAGGCAATTATGTAACAGGCTGAAAGAAGAATAGAGCTCACAGCAAATGATCCAAGCCTTTCAGGAATAGTTGTGGTTCAGTGATTGTAAGGGCAAGAAGTAATAACCTTGAGGAACAGGAGGAAAACCTCAAAGAAGACAAAAGTCTGATTTAAAAAAATCTGAGTCCTGGCCAGAATTATAACATGAGGAAGTTTCTCAGACAAGACCCCCTTTGTCTATGGAGATTCTCAGTCATCCAGGTCATGGTTATTCCACAGGTGCTTTTTCAAAAGACAACTGGACTTCCTTTTTTTTTTTTTTGCTTGAAGATGTTTCACTTCTCATCCAAGAAGCTTCTTCGGTTCTGAAGAAGCTTCTTGGAATCTTCAATATGCAGTAACCTTCAGTTCTGAAGAGGTTTCTTGGATGAGAAACAAAATGTCTTCAAGCAAAAACAAAGAAATCCAGTTGAAAAAAGCACTTTTGGGAAGACCCTTCCTTGTTCTCATGAAGGTAAAGGGATAGGGTGGGGAACATTACATTCAGTATTGCATATTTTGTCCCATAACTTTATGTTTAAAGTAGTACTGACATGTATACCTTGACCTTCGTAGTCTGGTCTGCTGCTCTCCAAACCTCCTGTTGACAAATGTCAAACTTTGGTTGAAATCTTGTTTGTGTCACTTTGTAGGGTCACAGGTGGTGAGCTCTTTGAAGACATTGTTGCCAGAGAATACTACAGTGAAGCTGATGCAAGGTGAGTGGTAACTTCACATCCACTTGTCCCCACTCCATCCTTCTCCCTCCCCCAGCCCCATTCCCTTTCTCTGTCCCCAGATCCCATTCCAGCTTGAACCTGTGAAATATGAACCCATCTGTAATCAGGGAGGTTGGGGTGGGGTTGGAACCACATGGTTGTATTCAAAAGATTTTACATGGTTGAAGTGATGTACTCATGTCCTTTGGCACCAGTGGTTGCCATAATGTGTCCCACTGCTTCATACAGTGCCAACCAATCCTCCCATACACCCTTGGACTGCTGCACCTGATTATATAGCAGACAGCAGGGGTCCCATTCACCTCACAGTTGTGAAGAAGATAGAATTTATGTGAGGCATTGCAGAGTGAGAAGAGATGTACCTATCCTGGTTTCTTCCTGTGCCTCCCCCACCCTCCCATTTATATAGGATGCAAGTGCTCTCAGTACATCTGATCATTTAAGGATACTCTCTTTCCCAAACGGACTTTCATCAGAGCAGGTCAGCTACTAGCTCCGTTCTTTGCTAAAGAAAGATGAGAGAGGTTTGGTTGGGGTGATGGGAATGTGGTCCCACTACTACAAACAAGCCTTAATCTGTGGTTGAATATCTCATGTTCAAATAGGATCTTAGCCTTCATATAAAGGAAGTTGTTGTTAGTGCTTTCACTCTTGAACTCCTCCTTCAACTGTAGAAATATTTGTATTGCACTAGGCTAGTTTGGAGATTGTATGGTCTCTTTTGCAGATGCAGTCTAACCAAGATAATTGGGGATAAGAACTGGAGGTGTGCAAGGATGTAGGAATATTGGCAGTAAGAAATAAAAAATTGGATGGGACAGAACCAAAATTAGTGTTTGCTGGGCAAACTGTCTGTCATTTAGTAAAGAGCTTCAGGAGTTGACGCATCAGGGCCACCAAATTACAAAACAGGGTTGCATTTGAGAAGTGTTCATACAATACAAAGACAGCTGGGTGTCCGAAGTTTGTCAACCTAGATTGCAAGGAGTTCTAGCCTTTGGAGTGAGGAGCAAAGGCTGAGAAGAAACCAGGAGGTACCAAAAGGCATCAAGAAATTCAGATTCAGTTTAAAGCTTTCATTAGAAGAGATTGTTGACCAAGGCATGAAATACATTGTGAAGTTATGTCTGTTTGAATTAAGAAACCTGGTTGCCCAAAGCCAAGTGTTCCAGAGATTTAGCAATGAAGATATTCTAAGAGAGGGAAGCCATAGCAATCCCAAAGTTTAGAATCTGGTATAATTCTGCCCACACAATTCAGTTTTTCTACATTGTTCCTTTCCTATCTCGTTCCTCCAGTGCTTCAGTGGTGAGGGTGGGAGAAGTAACCACAGGAGTGCAGAATAATTCTACCAAAATTCCAGCCCAGTGTTTTTGATATTGTATGTACCTTAGGACAGCAATCCTTGGTTTTTTGTATTATGTAAAACATCTAGGACAATGATAGTCTGGTAAAGATAATGAAAATAACATGTTTTGTTTAAGCACCTCTGATTTGATGGTAATCCTGCATGAAAAACCTTAGATTATTTCTCCTGGTGGCTTCCTGCCCATAAAGAGGGGCCTAGTGATAGAAAAGCATCCTCTGTTAATCCTAAATACAGGTAGTCTTTGACTACCTGTATTTGCCTTCAGAACAGCCCTGCTAAGTACATTGGAACTGTAAGTAGGAAGGCAGAAACTGGTGTGCATGCAAAATGATTGCCAAGCCCAGCATTGTTCCAAATCCAAATTGTGAAATTGACCCACCGTCAGCTTGCAAAGCCAAATGATGCCTTAAAACAATGTTTTTCAACTTTGTCAACTTTGAGATGTATGGATTTCTTCCTCAGATGTCTGGGGAATTCTGGGAGTTGAAGTCCATACATCTTAAAGTTGCCAAGGTTGAGAAATACTGCCTTGGAAACCTCCTCTTTAGTCTGTTATTTCTTGCCCAAATTAAGCAATGTTCTCTTTAGTAAAAAAAAAAAAAGGCCAACTCTGTTCTAGGCTGCGTTAACAGAGGAGTAGAATCAAAATCACATGAAGGGTTAATACTACTTTAGAATACTAGATAAGACCACACTTGTAATACTGCATCCAGGTTTGGTCGCCGTGATGTTAAAAAAGATGTTGAGACGCTACAAAGAGTGCAGAGAAGAGCAACAGACATGATTAGGGGACTGGAGACTAAAACATACAAAGAATGGCTGTTGGAATTGGGTATGTCTAGTTTAATGAAAAGAAGGATTGGGGTGACATGATGGCAATGCTCCAATATCTCAGGGGTTGCCACAAAGAAGAGGAAGGCAAGTTATTTTCCAAAACACCTGAAGACAGGATAAAAAGCAACGGATGGAAGCTAATCAAGGAGAGAAGCAACCTAGAACTAAGGAGAAATTTCCTGACAATTAGAACAATTAATCAATGAAACAAATTGCCCCCAGAAGTTGTGAATGCTCCAACACTGGAAATTTTGTGGAAGAGATTGGACAACCATTTGTCTGAAATAGTATAGGGATTCCTGCCTGAGCAGGGCGTTGGACTAGAAGAAGTCCTAAGTCCCTTCCAATTTTGTTATTCTGTTCTGATCTCTTGAAAAAAGAGCTGGTCATTGACAGATTAGTATTCACAGTTCACAGTTCCAGCAGTCATGCTTAGTTAGCCTCAGAGAGAGGTGAGATACAGCTAATAGCATAATACCCCAAATAACTGAATTAAGAACAGGAGGGATAAAACCTATGCAGGGAGTTCAGGAAATTACACAAGCAAGCCACACATATGCATCAAGGTGTGGTGGGCTGGGCAGACTTACAGAAATGAGAGACTTTGTCTAAGAGGTCAGGACCAAAGAGGTTCAATGGAATAGGATGTAATTCAAGCACATGAGAATGATTAAAACATACATTTTATGAACAACTTGTCCTCTCCCTTGTAGTTTCACAAAAACGGGAGATATCACTTTTGTATGAAGTGGTACCCTAAGTGGCTTGGTTGAACCATTGTATTGCTGAGTTTTGACATAGCTTGCCAGGGGTCCAGACCTTGGGTGATTCACATTATGTATGAACTGAGCCATTTTATCTTGTTCAACAAACCACAGCAAGAGAAAACAGTGCAGTAGGTGTTCCCTGCATATAGCTTCAGTTTTGTAACAGTATATTTATTTATCTACCTATTTATCTATCTGTCTGTCTATCTATCTATCTATCTATCTATCTATCTATCTATCTATCTATCTATC